AGGAAAGCGGCGGCGGGAGGCGCGAGGAAGGGGGACGGGGCGGAAGCTGCCGGCCGGAAAGGGAGGGGCGGTGACGCAGTGGCCTGAGCGGTAGGGGGGGGTGGGCGGGGGTGACGCCTCACAGAGCGACACTTCCGGGTGGTGGCTGGGGGATGGTGGCGGGGCCTTGTCACCTTCCTCTCGCCGCGATTGTCGCGACAGGGGCGAGCCTGTCCGTGGTCCGCCCGTACCTCAGCCCTCCCGGCCCCAACCCTCCCGGCCCCCTGCGTGGGAGCTGTATAGGCCTCCGGGCGGCCTGCTGCCCGGCAGCGACTGGGAAATGGAGGCCCGGAAGAGAATTAATTTTTTTTTTTCTTTTAAAGAAAAGGCAGGGATTCGGGAATCTTGGAGCTGCATGTCGGGGGGGGTAGGGGTATGGAGGCCACGCAGGGCTGCTTTCTATGAAGGCCTGGCTGGCTTCCCTTAAGAAAGGCCTAGCTGTAGGAAAATGGTCCGAGGAGGCGTTATGAGGTGCGGTGATGTGCTGGAGGCACAGAAAAATGCGTTTCCTTAGCTGCGTTCGTGAAACCGTGTAACCCACCGTGAACACAGACCGAGGTGCTCAGGGCAGAGCCCCGAGATACGGACGCCTGGCTTTGGGCAGCTTGAAAAGTGTCCCGATAACTAGAGGAGTCGTTGCGCATCTGGCCTGAAGTGGGCTGTTACCAGCGTGTCCTCCCCTTGGCATGTACAGTCGGCAGTTTGCCCCAAGGGCCGTAGTCCTGCCAAAGTTACAGAAGGGAGGGCGCTGGGTGGCTTCCGGAGCCAAATTAAAATTGTTTGCTCCCAGTGTCCAGGAAATGAATGTACGGTTGATAGGCACCTGTCCCCTTCAAGGAAAAAAGGGTTCAATATGAGTCACTGTAGATATTCTTAAAAGGAAACAAATATTTTTTTTCGTGGGAAGCACCCTGTCAAAGCTCCAGAAATTCACGTCACTTTAGCAGTGAGTTGCTAGAACATACTAAGTGAGTTGACGGCATTCTTTAGTGTAAAACCGTGTTTTCACCACCATAAATACCTGGTGCTCGGTATTGGAACTCCTGAGCCTTGGCAGTGTGCCAATCGCTGTCATAACTGGAAAATAAAAAAAAAGACCACTTGTCTTCGTGCTTTGAATACCGAGAGCTGAATCATCGTAAGTTGATGCCGTTGAAACATTAAGAATAAATTCATTTTTGGCGTATATTTCTAGCACCTACTCATGACTAGGCTTTCTGTGAAGTGCTGTTTCAGAGTTCTTCCTGCTGGCAGCCTCTCCTCAGGATGCTTCAAGGTACCCGACCAAGCGCCAGTAGCTCCCTGGAGGAGTCGGGTACTTGACATTCAGCTGCTCCACATAATTCACCTGTATTCGCCTGCCCCTTTGTACGGCTGTGGAAGTTGTTTATTTTGTGCCAGGAGCTCAGATTAACCGGGTGATGTGTAGACCTTGTTTCTTCTTCATTCTCTAAAGTTCTCAAGCTGCTAACGAGAGTTTAAATGTATTTAAAAAAAAAAAATCGCTCACCAGGGTAGCTCTTGGAATCTTTTTTAAGGCAGGTTCATTGATCGGTTCATCACTAGCAGAGACGCAAGGTGCTGCTTTACCAAGCTGCAAACCTCAGTTCTAGTGGCTTTTCGATTGTAACAACTCTCCCACCTTTCCAGCGTTACGCAGGAGCCCCTGAAGTTACACCACGGGTGCTTCCTGTGAGAGATACGGTGTAAAACTGCACTTCTCAAAATAAATTAGCAGCTAGGAGAACAGCATGCTCATATTCACTACCCTTAGAGGTAATGTTTCTCCCACCTGTCTTCAGAACTGAGAATTGCAAGCTCATCTTTTTATACATGACGGGAATGCAAAGAAAAAAAACACGGGTGATGTTTTATAATATGCCCTGAAAGTACATATCAATCTTTCTGAGCTGAATAGAATTCTGTGTCAAAAGAAGACACATCACTGTAAATACTGCATATAGCACCACATCCTAGTGCATTCTAGTGCTAACAGTTACCTAATGTATTTCTTCATGAATACAGTGTGTTTCCTTGGCACGTTTGGGTCGGTGCCTTACTGAATCTCTCTACTCGTGATTTGCTTTTATTTGAGCTTGGGGGTGGCAACACGTGAAGCTGCACCACCGCAATAGGCAGGATTATTCTTTCAGGGCCTATCTAGAGCTGATGGGAATTTCTACAGTAACTAAAATGGGCTCTCAAATGGAAAGCCTGGGATAGCAAATGCTCCCAAAGTAAGCTTATCTGTCCCTCGCTTGTGTCCTTCCCACACCATTCCGACTGGAAGCCTCGCCCCGTGCTGTTTGCCTACGTGCTTAGAAATACGCGACCTTGCAGCTCAACGCTCAGAAGCGCTTCGTGTTGCACCCTCATCGCAGCTCCGATAGATTCATGCGTCAACAAGAGAGGCGCGCATTAGTAATCACCCAACTATTTGTTATGTATGTGTTGCAGAGTACAGGTACGATGGCTACGGCATCCTGCCTTCGGGTCAAGTACAAACAGCGTTAGTCATGCCCGAAACAGCCGTTGCGTAACGCTTCCCTTGGCCAGGCTCCGTCAGCCGGATCGTGGCTGTGGTTTACTGCTCTGCCGTGACTCCCCAGCCTCTTCCCATGTTGCTGGTTCCCTGGCAGTTCACCTTCCTATCGTTAACATTTTCCCAGTTGCTTTGTTACTCCCTAAGGCTGTAAGGACTGTGATCGATACCTCTTCCCACTTCTCCCGGGTTTTCCCCTTAAGGAGTCACTTGTCTGGTGGGTAATGCCCGTCCTCGAGCGTAGCTTTCATTTCCCGGGAGCGCCGTTTCCACAGCACACTGCAGCCACACACAGATCTTGCAGCTCCGTGACTCATCTCTTTCTGGATCCTCTGCATCCAAGAAGCAGCATGCTGGGGGATGATAGTAAATCTCCTACTGAAAGCAGGATTTTATGGTTGTGCTTATTCATCTTTCTGCAAAGCAGAACTCTATTATGTAAATGCCAACAGAAGCAGTGGCACCGAGTAGTGAAGAAGAACGTACAAACTGGCGTGCTAATCTTCACTAATGAACAACAGAGGTATTCAGAAGCAGAGATGCTCTAAGGAAGAAGCTGGATTGTAACAGTTTCTTTCCATGCTGCTCTTTACGAAACAAATAAGTAAAAATGAAAGCCTTTCCAGGATTTTAGAAGTAGAAACCTGTGATGCTCAAATACCCATCGCTTCCACCCACTTGGTGTTGTAGAAACCTCTCGGCAGTTAACAATAAACCATTTTTCAGCTTTTTGCCTCTTTCTGGTTCGCCCAGGGCTGCACCAGTGCTTGCACTCAGGGCCCTTTTCTTACCTGGGTCACTGGCAGCCTGTACCTCCGCTGTGAAATGGTCCATCACATCCTGTCGCTGTAGTTGAGAGTAAATGCAAGCCAGCAGAGTTCACCCCTGTTTAATTTGACTACAAAAGTAAATGAACTTCCCCATAGTCAGCTTGTAACACCAGGTAAATGTGTCTCTCTCATTTTATTTATCATTATGCTGTCCTGATGAGTCAAATTCTGACTTCTGCTTTAACATAGTGTGAAAACATGATTGCAGTTTTTCACAACCAGACAGAAATGTACAGTTGCAAATCAAAAAAAGACAGTTTAGAGTAGAATTGTGCAGGTGTGCTGGGTTGTACCTGGATTGTGCCTTTCCTTTTCAGTAAACGCAGGTGGGAATACGTATGTCTGAATCCATTTGGATTTAAACACTAGAGCAAGTTATGCATTTTCAGCTTTTTTTTTTTGAGTCTTTTCCATGCAAATTTCCCTGTACATACTGCTCATCTTGGGCCTTTCATATGGAGCTAAATGGTGAACAAGGATAGAAATTGTTGCAGAAATTAAATCCAGTGTTTTGTTTAACTGACAGAAAAATAAGTGCTATTTAGAAGGAACTTAGGAATCGGTGCCTTGTGCTACGCAGTTGTAAGCAAAAGTCAAGGTTTACTTTAAGATGATCTCTAAATACAGCAACCTCAAAATTAAATCTTTGTATCATAGCTTATTTATTCTAAAAAAAAATACGAGGTGCAAAATAATTAGCAATAATTACAGTCATGGGTTTTGCTTGAGCGCAGAGCTCCTGCGTGCAAATCAACATCCTGTCTTGCGGGACAAATCTCCAAATTTCCACTCCTTCATGCAGTTTTCCCCCCCTTGATGAGAGCTGTTGAATAATAATTAAATAGCTGTTAGATATTCCACAAGATCTGCTCTAGGTTTTTTGCTATTTTTAAAAATTTAGTAATTTGCCTGATGCATCATACCAATCTTTCCTCTAGATGGTGCCCGATACCCAAGAGT